AAAACATATATGCACACCGCACTAAATTACTGATCTGAATCCACTTTTAATCTTCCATGGAATAAAGAAGCAGACTTTAAACTGGGATAATAATAAAGTGTCACAGAAGTTACTAAACTTCTAAATGAAAACTAAGACTGAGGCTATAGAGTCACATGAAAGACTAACTTTGAAAAGAATTCACAGGATCAATCAGCATGTCTTAAATGAATGCCCTCTAAAAAGTGGGCCACAAAGACGGACAGCTTGGTCAGTATTTCTGTCAAGTCCCTCGGATTTTTGACCGGCGTTCTTCGGCAGCTCCTGCTCCTCCCTCAACTTCCACCCTCGGCCTTTCCATACCACTGCCCTTCCAACCACTCTGAAAACAGGCTGGGTACATGTGCCTAGGTGGAGCAAACAGAGCCCTTTTTTACACTGCACACAATATGGTTTGCTAAATTTTTAAAGCATGCCATGCATTAATATTTTAGGGATGAATTTACAATCAATAGTGTAATTCTCCCATAGGATCTCTTCCACAGAGGGTAACACACGCCCAAAATAAAAACTCTAAAGAGACAGCCGTGGGCATTATTTTGGCAAGCAACATTAAGTGCTGAGATTAAGCTTAAAAAATAATAAGCACATAAGAGCCTACCTTGTACGACACATTTGATTAATTAACTTTTATAAAATTTCCCAAAATCAACTGAAACAAATTAGAACAAAGATTAATACTTCTCTTACATATAAAATCCAGAAAAATAAAATGACAATAAAGACCTTTCCTTTTAAATTACTTTTCTAATTCATTTTAATTAATAAATAATTGGAATTTGGTTCTTTTTTGTCTTCCCACCCTGACTGGGGTGGGAATGGTCATAAAAAATCAGAAACTCAGATATTCCTTTCTATTGTTGGTTTGTTTCTCTTTCAGATTCGTATCAAAAGGAATCCTCATTTAAACATCAGGATATAAAGACAATCCAATCTGTGAATGTTTTGTTTCTCAATATGATGAAAAGAAAAAGAAATTAAATGTTTCCATAGCAACCCTGAGTGTGACTAAACTGCATAACTTCCTACATGGGCGAAACAGCAGATAACAACTGAAAGTACAAGAGGCTTGTAACAGTCAGCCTTACCAAATTCCCCATAAGCACATATTACCAAGTTTAAAGAACAGTATGGGCATGTTTTATAGGCTTCAAACCCAAATAGGGAGTTCCTTCACTCATTTCTTCTCTAATATCTAGCTTCTCTAATTAGTCGCTTACAACTCATTTGCCCTTTTATTCCTTAAAAATAACTTCTAAACATTTTGTAAACACATATCTTGTTTTTAAGATTACAGAAAGAGCCGGGCTCGGTGGCTCAGCCTGTAATCCCGCGCCTTTGGGAGGCTGAGGTGAGTGGATCGCCTGAGCCCGCGGGTTCGAGACCCGCCTGGGCAGCGAGACCTCATCTCTACAATAAATCTAAAAATCAGCCAGGCGTGGTAGCGCGTGCCTGTAATTCCGGCTACTTGGAAGGCTGAGGCGGAAGGATCGCCGGAGCCCAGCAGGTCGAGGCTGCGGTGGCCGGGAGCAGCCACTGCACTCCAGTCTGGGCGACTGAGTGAGACTCCAACTCAAAAAAAAAGAAAAAAAAGACTACAGAAAGGAAAGGCACTGTATCAAAACATGCATCTACGAAAATGTTGTGCCTCTGCTCCCCACCCCTAATTTTTCAGGAGAAAACTTTCATTCTCCCCAGTGTCTGCTGTCTTTAATTGCGTTCCCCAAAAGGCTGCTGTGGCTGTTAACAGCAGCAAAAGGTAACTTGCTCAGCTAAAGCAAGGCAGGTGTGTCCTTATAAAAATAAACATACAAATAGATAATATTTTAAAAGACTGTCTGACAATCAGTGATGGCAGAAATGACAGTAACAAATTTATTTATTTCGCTAGTTAAAATGCAGTCATTCACTCATACCATGTGCCAGTGTAAGTCCATTACATGCAAATGTCATATAAGTCCTGGGAGGTAAGTACTAGTATTATTCACCTCATCAAATGAAAATTTTGTTTAAAATTTTGAAAGTTGGATATAGTCACATGGCCAGTAAATGGCAGAATCCATGTCTGCCTTTCTCTGAAACTCTTTTTACCACCACAGTAAAAAGCTTCTCCAATCATTCAAAACCTTTCTGAAGGGAAAGGAGGTTAAAGTTCTCATTCTAATTAGTTCTAGCTAATACTAGTAATCTAAATAGCTAAATCAAAATCCTTCCTTTCTCCTGGAAACACTCACCCAAACTTAAGTATAAAATGCATGCTGTGGCTGGGCATGGAAGCTCATGCCGATAATCCCAGCACTTTGGGAGGCCATGGTCAGAGGACTGTCTGAGCCCACGGGCTGAAGAACATCCTGGGCAACTTGGCGAGACCTCATCTCTACAATAAATCAAAAATTAGCTGGGCATGGTAGCATGTGTCTGTAGTTCCAGCTACTCGGAAGGCTGAGGCAGAAGGATCGCCTGAGCCCAGCAGGT